TTTGGCGACGGCCACCCAGAAACGAGTCACCTTCACCGAACACTTTGAGAAAAAGCCCCACTGTTTACAAATGTGTCACGATTGGTTTTGGCATTCTCGGCACCAGCAATGGGACGAGCTGGACCTCGCGACTCGGACGTCGGTGGTTTTGCGGTGGGCTAAGACAAAAGGGTTGTTGCAAGAGGAGCGCTGTTCATTTTGTTGGTTGGTTCTGGCCGAGGGATACGTAGACCTGGGACTGCACTATAAAAGGACAGAAGGGTGTTGGGATAGACTATATGTTTCCTTTGTTGAGTATGTGGGACAGATTGTGTTGGAGGGGGATAGGGGTGAGGGTATGAGACGGTGGCTGGGTGGCGAGGTGGGAAGACGCATTAATCCAGGACAGTACTAGTTGCTGCGAGCGCCTGTGAGCCCATTTAGGTAGTGTTTTTTTTTTTTTGGATTTATGTTTGGGGGGAGTGATTGCGAGGCGGAATAGTGCGCGGTAGTGTGTATTTTAGATAGATTTGTTTTATGGGGCGTGGGGGAGACTGGTCGTGTGCCAGTGTCGGCGGTACTAGTATAAATAAAATTAGATTGAATTCTAAGTACTTTTCCTCTTTTCTTCTTTCACCCCGTGTCAGAACGTGAAGGTTCAGTGTCGGTCCAATCAGAGCCCTTGATTTCTATCTGACGATAGGCTTCAAGTCTTTAACTTTGATCACCTTTTGGGGCATTGTTGTTAATCCCTCCCCTACGATTGCTGGAAGTTCTTTCTTCCTCCTACCTATCTTTACGCTTATTCGTTTACGTCGCCTCCTCCCAGTCGCAATGGCTAAGTGAGCCTCTGTCCCTTCTGCCACGTCTGCTTTACGTTCGTCGGTGGTTCTGTCTCGTGCCGTTGAGAAGAACTTCGCCCTGGAGGCCGAAGTCTCTCGCCTTCGGCATCACATCTCCGTCCTTTCTCAGCGATTTCATCGCGCTGAGAAGGAGATATCTACCTTGTCGGCTGCCCTGGCCTCTGAACACGATACTGTTCGCGGTTTGGTCACAATTTTAGCAGCTGAAGCTCCGACAGTTATCCCCTCTTCGCCTGTCCCCTCGGTCGCTTCGGTTACTACGGTAGTCTCGGTTGAGGGGGGTGGGCTAGACCCTGAGAATTCTCAGGGTCAAGCGGAGGAGCTCCCTCAGGAGAATGTTGCGCCGGCGGTTATCCCTGCCCCCCTTGCAGCTACAGTTGTGGATGGTGGTGTGGGTGGTCCTGTTCCTGATTCGTCAGAATTGGAGGAGGCGCTTGCTCCTGGTGTGGGTAGGGTGGATCCTAGTGTGGTGACACCAGCTATGGTGGTATCACCCCCTTCGGGGGGGCAGGTGCCTGAGTCCTCTATGGCTGAGCCCGTGGCTGGTCGGGGAAGCGCCTCTAGTGGCGTCCCTCCTGTGGTGGTGGGTGGTGATAAGGGTGGCCCATCCACTCCTGTTACTAGACCTGCGCCCGGGGGTGGGAAGAGGAAGAGAAACAAGAAGCGCCGGGTCAAGCAAGACCAGACCTCACCTGTGCTACTTGTTCCCGACTCGGAAGGGTCATCGCCTTCGCCGGTTCGCTATCGCAAACCGGCTACTACAGAGTCCACGGTGGGTTCGCCGCCTGCAGAGCAGGCTGGGGAGTTAGTGGATGAGTTGAATACTTGGGTGTGTTCGGTCAAGTGCTGGCAGCTTGGGGACTCTCTCGTTCTGGCTGCTTCCGTCGAGGTTTTTGGACTGCGCTGCCGGTGTGGTGCACCCCAGATTCTCTACGACGGTTCGTATCCCCTCTGCTAGGGAGCCCTCGCCCTGTAAGTCGGCTTTCCTTTTGGGTTTACGCGCTTGGGTTTTTTGGATGTTTCTTTTATTTGAGATTGGGGGAGGGTGCCTGGCGGTTGGTGGGGATGTCCCGAGATCATTGAGTGGGGTCATTCGGGAGGGTTTCTACTATGGAGGGGGCTATCGCGGGGTCATATTTAGGTGGCGGTAGTGGAATTTTGTATTTTGTACGGGTAACTTGGCTGGTGGGCAGGCTGGGCTGAGGAGGATTTTCTTTACCGATGATGGTTTTTGTACTTAGTATTCGTGTTAGGGCATGGCGCAAGCATGTTTGAGGTATGGGGCTGGAGGTTTAGTTAGTTCATAGTTAGTGGTATCCGGGATGCGACAACCTGGGGGCCCGGCCCTGGGGCTCGTCGTATGCCAGTGTTGGCGGTACGAGTTGAAATAAAATTAGATTGACTTCTAAGTACTTTTCCTACTTATTACTTTAACGAATATAAAACACCTTTACGATCTTTATCCTTATTGCAACGTTATCGTTATGCCAAGGAAGGCGCTTTACGAAGAAGAGTTAGAGAAAGCTTACGATAGGCGTTCCCGGTAGAAGACAAGGGTCTTGTACTATCGGTAATGTAGGCAGAGGCCTAGAGCTATCGTAAGACAAAGGAAGTAGAAGACAGAAAGAGAAGTATTGTTCCCCATTGCCAAGCGCTAACTATCCAGAGAGGGATCGTTACAGACGTCCTTGAAGGAGGGTGAGAATCTATGGAGGAGGAGGCTGTCAAAGACACCATGCTTACCCAAGCTACACTCAGTGATTACTGGGACAAGGTCATTCATATCTCACACTGAAGTACTTTCTAAGCAAGGACAATTACTTCTAACTGACTACCCGAAAAGAAAAATACAAACAAGTAACAGTAGATGAAGTATTTATCACAAGCAAAATAAGGTAAAGATTTGGTGTGCCCACATCCAAGACAGGGTGAACATAAGAATGAGAAAAGTACGTTAAACAAAGCATGAAGAATCTATCCTCTTCGGCCATACCAGCCTCCTTATATATTGTTCTTTTCACCCCAAGTCATGCAACTCAAAGTGGTCACATACGCAAACCCAAATCATAACAAACTAGTCATATGACCAAAGTGGTCACATGCTCAAATCCCATGATCTCGTAGCAAGGTCATATGTGAAAACTCATAAACCAATGACAACACAATAACCAAGTCATATGACCCAAAGTGGTTATATACACGAAACCTATGACCTTATAATAAGGTCATGTACAAAACATAAATCAGATGTGCAAGACATTCCCGTAAGGCATACTAGCAAGGCATACTCGCCAGGCATATGTCTCATAACTCATAATTTAATCATATGTAAAACATAACAAATTATAATATAACAAGTCACATGACCAAAGCGGTCATATGCGCGAACATAATAACATACCTATGACTCATAATCATGTGTTATGTGAAAACCTTTTCCTTGCTAAGCGATGTTCGTGACACTACCAATAAAACAAAATGTACAGCAAGTAAGTGAGAATCTCCTCTCCTGCCTCTCTACAAAAAGGTAAATAAATAAAAATATTGGTAGAATGGAAGAATTGGTAGGCTGGTAGGCAGGAAAATACTAACACAAGTAGGAGAAAGATCCAGAAGAACAAATAAAATTGTAGGAAATCTGAGGGATCTTATAAGCTCAAGTAATGAAAACATCTATCTCTGACCTGTTCCTTGAAGAACAGTAAATAATGGGAAAAGAGATAAAATCTGATAAGTATTGTCTATTATTGACAATTTTTTTATATTTTATAAATTAAGTAATAATGAAATTTGCAGATTAATTGTATTTTTTCCTTTTTGTATTCCTTCTCTCTGACAGTAATTCATTATAATTGTATAATAATATAAATATCACTACTGGAAGCAAATATATTTCAGAATCAAGTTGTTTTCTCTCACTTGGTTTTGATTTAAATATGCTACTTTTATAACTTATAAGTAATATTTAAGAGATATTAGTAGTTAGAAAGAGGAAGAAGGAGATGTCATATATGGTACTAGACAACCAAAACCAGTCTACCTTAATTATAAAATAACCTAAAATACAATCAATCAAAATACTAGTTTAAGTCAATATATTTCAATTCTGTCTAATAGTTAGACTTAATAGGTATAAATAAAGAGATCTACCAGAAGAGATTACAAGAAAATATTTCCTGAAATAGGTATTGGCATTTGAAGTTTACTTCTTTTATATGATAACTAGTAACCTAGCTATGGGAAAAACATGTCAAGATAACAAGAAATTTTATAATAAGTGATATTTTATAACTGGAGTCATAATAATATAAGTAAAGTAATAGAAATAATATAAAGCTAAAAAAAGAAGAACTTTAATAATTTTCTAAATATTGCAGTATTGGTTTAATATTTATTATAATATTATATATTATAATAATTATTATTATAGTAACCTTGTATAGTGCTAGGTAGAATAAGAGGCCCTATAATGAGGTATAGAAAACAACCTGTTTAGGAATTTTCTTATAACTGCATACAATATATAACTATATTATTATTTTATGCAATATTTTTCTCAACTGCTATACCAGATGGATTACAGGTACTCTCATATTTTAGAAGCCGTGGCCAATTAAATGGTCAGTGCGTCTGTTATAATATTATGATACTAATATATTATAGCATGTTTTAAGTAGAGATAGTAAGGTAATCTGGAGCTAAAACATGATAGCATCTGTGGCCGGGCTCCTCGTAAAGTAACAGTTGATCTTCGTTTTCTGCTAGTTACAGTAGATTGTAAGCAGGTGCTGAAAGGTGAGTCCGAGGGAAAAATATAACAGCACCTGTGTTTGGTCCAGCAGTCTAGTCTACCTACCGGGAAACTCTCCGACTATTCATAGGATTATTAGAGTATCAAAAATTTCAAGAGGGCAATACTTCTACGAAGGGTGATAGTAATCTGACCTGTTGGTGCTGGAAGACAAACTCTAAGACAATTAGTACCGCACGAGTATGATACCGTGATCCATGGACAGTCGTTGGCTAGCTACAGATCGCCTGTTGCAGCCCCCAGCAATGAGATTCCATTGGAGGCTCCTAAAGCCGGGTAACCACGTTTTCCACCCGAACGAAGAATGGTCCAGAAGGCCAACTTGACATTAAATCAGCTTCTCGTTTGCCTTTCCCTCCTCCGACCCCTATTCCTTTATTTCGCGACAAACCAATAGCCGACTATGCTTCCTTCAATAGCATCTCCGTTGACCTTACTGCTTGCAGCATCGTATGCGCTCCCGAGCTTTGGACTATACTTCTACATCGACGGGATCACGCCAAAGTGTTTTTTTGAGGAGCTGCCAAAGGACACTCTGGTTGTTGGTAGGTGCCGGATTCCCCTGGGATTATTCAGATTTGCGGAACGGCGTTCAATTGTCGGGGGGATAGACTGCGGGTCGCTGGAGAGAGGTGGAGAGGGGGTGTACAGACTCAACGGTTAGCTAACAAAACTATGAATAGGTCAATACACCGCCGAGGAATATAATCCAAATATCCAAGCATATCACAACAACCCTCAACTTGCTATTCAAATCACTGTCGATGTATTCAGACCTACATATCTTTCAAGAGTGAAGTGGCACATCCCTAACCTGACTTTAGGAAACCTTCGACAATGATCACCGTGTTGTAAACCAGAAAGGATCTTCCTCCGGGAGATTCACCTTCACTGCTGGTGATTCCGGCGAGCATCGTCTTTGCTTCTGGGCTTCGCACGCTTCCAGTGGTGGCTGGTTTTCAAACCACCCGGAAGGTGTGAAACTTACTCTCGACTTAGCAATCGGCGAGACCAGTGAAATCGAGAGTAAAGACAAGGACAAGCTAGCAGATATTGTGCAGAGAGTCAAGGACCTGAACTCTAGGCTTCAAGATATTCGAAGAGAACAGGTTTTCCAAAGGGTAGGATGGAATTTTCCTTTCTTATTATACGGCGATTGGGTGTGGCCCAGGTGCTGATCGCTCACTCAATGTAGGAACGTGAGGCTGAATTCAGGGATCAATCCGAGTCCACCAACGCTCGTGTCGTCCGATGGACATTAATCCAGCTTGCTCTCCTTGGTGTCACCTGCGCCTGGCAATTATCTCATCTGAGGGCTTTTTTTATCAAGCAAAAGCTCACCTAGCCCACCACCCCCACAGGATGCCATTGTCATTTACTGCCTGTCACTTTTTCTTTCTTATTCCCCGAATGATATTAAAATTACAATTACATTCTTGACTGCGGTGTAGGGAAGCGCTCATGGAACTGTTTCGACTTTGTACTTTCTTGTATTACAGTTTTCTTTGTCTCTTATACAATAAGCCTTTTCTTCTTTTCATTTTTATTTTTTTACCTTTGACGAGGAAAAGTGTCGCAATCCACAACCTTTTTTTATATCTTGCCGCTAAGGTGCGCTTTGAAGCTGAGCAGCACAGTGACTCGTGCCTGGTTCGTGCATGCCTCGACTCCCGCAAAATCCGTAAATTACGGTACCGGGATTCAGAGTTGGCCACAAATACGATACTCTCCCCGAAGTGCCGGAATACGATAAACGTTCTGGGATACCATTAGCTATGCACTATCTCTCCGAGAAGGCGGATTGATACGGTGCTGCGATGGATTTCACGGATAAAGTGTAGTTTATACTAGTAAAATGGAAGAGAATGATAAACCGAAGTTTTGATCTTAAAGGTCATCAAGAATTTCGCTTCCTTGGCCAGTTAGATGGCCTTAGTTTCTGAAATCAGTGCTGACTACTAGTATATATATCTTTCAGATTATGACGCCTGTTATAATTTTGCAAATTATCATTACAGCATAAATTTGCACCTCTTTTATGTTTGACCGGCGGTAGGTAGGTAGAATGCCCTTATTACAAAGTATAAATTTAGAGGCTATGTTGAAAGGAGGATATGCTATCATAGTGCTTTCTAAGTTTTTAGAGAGAATGACTATATGCACCATACAATGCCATGACGAAGATGATTGTCACTTGCCCTCTTCACACCAAAAGTGACCATGCCACAATGCCCCGTTGACCTCAATTGATTATGTATTAATTTCAGGTAACAGGTCCTGATATGGCCTTCACAATGCCCCAATTTCAGCTGAATCAGATATGTCTTGCACTGTTGGTTAGGCTTTGAAAATGGGGATTTTCAAAACAAAGATACATTTTTTCTTATGGTTGCCTACTGTATTATACACAACTTTCAAGGTTTGGCTCAAATATTTGGGCGCCCCGGGTCTCTCACGCTTGTGGAGTGGCCAATTCACAATTAAAAAGACATGAACTAGGTTCTTGGGTTACTGGATACCCATAGCTATAGCTATATTTTAGTATCATAATAATTGGTGTTAGGGCTCTTGAATCACTGGGGATTTAGTTAGCGTCAGATGTTCCTAATTTTGGTGTTTTCAGTGGTATCGTACTTTACTTGACCGACGATGACTTGTGCCCAAGAATTATGTAATTATATAATATATAATATTATAGTGGCATGCCAAACAGGGCCTTGGTTTTTGCTCGTTTGGGTAAATATCTCGTTAGACTAGATTGATTTTTTTAGGTCGGGTATTCTCACTCGATCGGTATTATCGTAGTCGTGTAGGAGATAGGCATTCTTAGCGGGCATTGGCTGCCAGATAGCAATCTCCTGGAATACGCAGGATAGTTTTACTAAGTTACTGGTCTTTCATAGTCCCACCTGTTTTCCACGACATTCACACGGGTTTACGAGAAACTTTTTGCACCATCTCATCTAATCCGATCCGATCCACTCCAATCTCATCTACAAACACATATACAAACCACCCTCACGCAAAAGAGATATATAGGTGAATATGTATGAAAAAAGAGTATCAGTAGGAGGAAAGCAAGAATGAGAGAGTAATACCCCCCCAAAAAAACAAGGTACGCAGTTATTTTATCAGACCAATACCACTAGTGTCTCCCTCCACTCCTGTGCTCCGCAGTTCAGAGGGACATGGATAAAGACAGCGAATTTAGAACAAGACGCAAGAAATTCACCCAAGCATCCACACACTTGCTATGCTATCATAACACAACTAAACAAAAGCAGATATCACCAGTAATAAAGGCCACTTTCCCTTCCTTCCTTGCTTGTTTCCTCCCGGCTTTCTTCCGATTCACGATACCGACCGACAAAGAGACCGACTGAACAAGAAAAAACCGACGAAGCGAGCAAAGAAGCGGGTGGAAAGGTTCTAAACGGCGATCCAAATAACCGAAATAACCACGTCAAGACCTTTCCCACAGCACCCGGTTAGCCCAGCGCATACTTTGCTTTTGCCAGCACCATCGACACCACCACCATCGCCAGCGGTTTTCGGGCAATGCTGGGGAGCAATACCTTTAGTCTCGTACTTGAAACTCCACATCCCGTCCTTCTCGTTATTCCAGTAGGCGCCGCAGGCGCTGTGCATTCCGCGTCTGCCAACGCCGGTGTTCTCATTGCTCGCGCGGCCCGAGGTGAGTTCGCTGCCGACGCCGGCGGCGGCGGGGGAAACGGGAGAGGTGGAGTCTTGGGAGGTAGGGGTAGTAGCGGCGGCGGAGGAGGGACTAGTAGAGATAGAAGTGGTTAGGTAGTTGAAGTTGCGCTGGGCCATGTGCTGGATGATGGTGCTGTTCACGGAGAACTTGTAAGGAGAGCAACCAGGTCCAGCGCCAGTGGGGGTGGATTCGGAGATCAAGGCGCGGAGGATGTGGTTCTGGTTATCCCTTGAAGGTCAGCTGTGAAGAAGGTAGGGGGGTAGGGGGGGGGAGGACGATGATGGTGTTATTCCATCCCTCGGTGCGGGAATGGTCGTAGACTTCGACTTTTTCGAGAGCTGCGAAGCAAGCCTTTTAGTGGTTTATTAGCTTTATTTTCTCTTCGCTTCCTGCTTCGGGGGAAGGGAGGGATGGAGGAAGCGTAGTATACATCGTTGGCAATCTGCTTCAATCTCTGTAGGGGGACGGGCTAGTGTATTCAAGTCAGCGCCTGACATCCTGTGCCCCAAATCGTAAGATTAGGAGATCATTGTGACTTACTAAATTAGCCCCAGCGGTATGCGGAAACCTGGATTCGGACATCTTCAAAGGCTAGAGCAGATATTCGTGGTAAAGTTGGTGTGTGTGTGTGAAAGAGTGAGAGGAGGGGAGGGAGGAGGCTAAGGGGAAGGTGGAGATATAAATTGGCAAGGTGATGGAGCTGAGGGGCAAAGCTATGACACCTCCTCACGTGTAAGGCAAGCTAGGTTAGGTCAGGTACAATCCTCAACAACGTTAAACGGTGGGGTTGCTGGGTGCGGGGTGTTCAAACAAACCAGAGCGGCAGGCGGCTCTGCTGTGCTGTGCCCTTCCCACCATTGAACATTCCCCACCAGACGGAGAAGATATCATACAAGCAACCACCAGAAACCCCAAGCCCTGTGGACGTCGGTGGTGGGGGGTTTGGAAAATGAGTTATGATAGTAACGGGATGGTGATGATTACTACTACAAACAGACCAATCAGCAGCAAGCAGTTGCCGTAGGCGGGTGTCCAAAAAAGCCTGCACGCCAAGTAAATTATGGCTTCCGTTCCCCCCCGTCTGTTCTTTCATCCTCCGCATCACCCGTTATTTCTTCTCTCCCTCTGTCCATTCATACCAGATCATACTCTGTCGAGGAAATCTTCTTCCACCGTACCCACCTGAACTCTCAACACCCCTTCCCACACCTACCTCCCGACCTATAATTCTACTTTAAGGATCACAACAATGTCCTCCCAACCCCTCCTCCAATCCGCGCCAGGCAAGCGTATCGCTCTCCCAACCCGCGTTGAACCAAAGGTCCCTCCTCCCCCCCTCTTTCAACCCTCCTTTTCCCCCAAATTAACATCCCCACCCCTCAAAAAAGGTCTTCTTTGCCAACGAACGAACCTTCCTCTCCTGGCTCAACTTCACCGTAATCCTTGGCGGCCTGGCTGTAGGCCTGCTCAACTTTGGCGATAAGGTAGGCCGCATATCCGCTAGCCTGTTCACGTTCGTGGCGATGGGCACGATGCTATACGCCCTCGTCACGTTCCACTGGCGCGCTGCAGCGATCCGGAAGAGGGGGCAAGGGAGCTTCGATGATCGGTTTGGCCCAACAGTTTTGGTGAGTTCCTTGCGATATATATTGGGCGCGCGGGATTGTTGGGGGGATGCTAATGACGGGGGAGGGGTTTATAGGCACTCACTTTGTTCGCGGCTGTCATTGTTAACTTTGTGTTGAGGGTGTTCACTTAATTGCTGGGTTGGCGCTTGGTTTGTTTGTTTGGTTCGTTTTTAGTTGAGTCATGTCGTATGGTGCTTGTTACCCTTTTGATTGATTGATTGATTGATTGATTGATTGATTGAACGGTACTGGATAATTCCTGAAATTGACGAGCGTGTTGAAGGGCTAGGGAAAGTTGTATGTACTCATACAAATACATGGATGGGTTGACCTTTTTTCCTTTTCTATATAATATACAATAATATTATATACCGGTATATATATATATATATATATGATATATGAGGTTCTATCGTAGCCTACACAAGTTGCACCGGCCTGGTCCCTGCCCAACGCCTCGTGCGCACGCACATAGGCACGATACCGAAAGTTTCAATTGGCCGTGATAGATCCAAGTTCATTGGCCATGGCATAGTACAGTACCTTGCGCCAGTACAATACCACTCGAGACGAAACCCTGAATAGACTACACTGTGAAGAGAGAAACATCCGTGAACCCGAGGCCAAAGCCAGAGCTCAAAGACCAACAAAAAGTCAAACCCGAGTCAATTGGAACCGTTTCCACGCGTAGTTGCCTCCCACTTACCCACCACATATTGCAGCGCTCTTCCAACGACAATAATCACAGGCGGATTACCTCACACACTTCACGCAAACGCGCAAGGAAAGGCACCTACAGCATTACAAAAGAAGAACCTAGAAGTCCAGGCAATCAAGCCCTCGATACACCACATTAGCCGTTCCAGAAGTTATCATACGCCTCAACAGTACAGACATCCGGATCCACACCTCCCCCTGAAACTCCAGTCCGGCGGCAGAAACCCCGCAGCCAGGGAATAGGAGTATGTAAGCTCGGATACTCACAATTGTGAATTGAATTGTTCGTCGAATCCATCGAACCCTGGGCCGTTGAGAGTAGGGGATCACAGGCGTCTGGATGTGCAACTACTTGATTATACCAGCGGTTTACCCGAGTATTAGGAAGTGAGCATAAGCGAAGCGAACCCAGCTCTGATTGGGAATTGGTTGTATTGATAGCGTGTATTCAAAACTGCGACTTTTATTCGATGTCCGGAAGCGAATATCAGTGGCAATTTCGGATTGTTTAGAAGTATATAATGCCATATCGTCCGTCATTTTCACCTTCAATAAGTGAAGTCTCTCTTCGAACACCGTTCTCCTCTAAGAATTTAATACTCCGAATGATTCTGAGACTTCCTGGGAGGGCTAATTACCAATATTTAGGAGATTACTTGGGATTCCTTTTATCATACAGCGTAAAACTTATCATCACGGGAGCCATCAAGTGGTGGTAAAGTCAATTCAAGCTTTCTGAAGGTAGTAACAATTAACTCCTGACATTTACAATAAAACAAGCCTCTTACCTATCCAATATATTTAACACTACTATAAGAACATTAATAATTGAACTTTATTCTAAGAGGTTAAATTGAGGTGAACCATGACAAGCATAGTTTTCAGTATAAGTTTCAGCATTTCTTGATATTATGATATTCAAAAAATATTTCCGCTTCATCCTCACAAATGTCTAATACTGCATTATTATCATTATTATCAATCACATTCTCCCTCTGTTAATTCTTCAGTTTTTTTTAATAGAAAACCTCTCTCAAGTATTACCTACAGCTAGTTTAATACTTGTTCATTAATCTGTCATTTACTTTTAAGTAGTAATGGATTTTACGGTGGATACTCAGCCTTTTATGGGCCACAGCTATGTTATCTTCCCACTTTATCTACATTTCATTCCGAAGAGTAATCATTCAAATTAATCCACTACAGGTTACTTTCCAGAATCCACCTCCAGCTGGAAAACTGGAGTACTTTACCTCCTCTTTATTCCTAATACAAAAGTGAAAGGATGCTTAACAGTATGGGAATTTAATAGTTTCAGAACAGAGGTAATAGCTCGCTCATATTAAATGACATTATCCACAGGACCGGACAATGACTACTAGAGCATGATTTCTGGATTTCGGACTTTTCTCAAGATCCACCAACCACGTTCGTTCCTACAGTATCACATTCCCTTACACCCTGGCACTTCTTCTACTCAGAGGGCGCCCACAACCGATTGGCACAGTAGGGTACAGTACTTGGTCTGCGATCAATTGGACTCAAACGGACCATAGTAAATACCAGCCTCCACTATTTCCACATCGCGGATGGCGCAACTAGTTATGTGCTTTACACAAGCTCCAGGTTCAAACTATCTAGTTCCCTACCCGTTCAATACGACATGCGGTCTGGAGAGCGAGTAGGGAGGGAGCACTTGAAGGGGGAGGAAGGACTTTCGGATTCCATACACACCCACTCCCCAACAGATACAGAAGTCACTGCTGTACAGTACCAGTGAGACATTGTGCGCGTCAATTCTATGGAATCCAAAGCCTGCGTGCCGTATGCATCATAGCTCGAGGACCCGTTCACTCACTCATAAAAATAGTGCAATAGGTATGAGACGATGCAGAACATAAATTTACACATCCCCAATTCTCCAAACCAACTCACCTACCGTACTCCACTCAACCACCCAAATATACTCTACTCAACCCTACTCTACAAACCCGCAATCTACCATGATCCAGCATTCAAACCACCACCACCCTCCACATAACGCCCAATCCCAATTCTCCATTCCCCCCCACACCACCACCACCACCTACCTACACAAACCACATTACTAATATCCCCCATGTAAGGCCTCCCGTTTTCCAACTCTTACTACCGTGATGACGTCCAAATGTGCACCACCAACTATCGGACACGGATCCGCTTCACCTACCGGTACCCGTGATGCCGTAGCTAGCCAACTTGCTTGTACTGTACGGATGCTGAGTGCTATTGTCGGGTCGCGGAACGATTCTTACGGTCAAGCAAAGCAAAGCACGGTGCGGAAACCAGTCGACCCGGGAAGGGAATGCGCGGTGGTCCCTGGTCGATTGGGGGGAGCGAGTACGAGTCCGCTGGTCAAGGCAAAGTGCTGTACTGTACAGTACTGTACCGTCCCCCTGGACTGCCTCCCCGTATCGAGATCTGGGTGGGTGCGATTGCCGCGATATGCTTCGCCCTGCACTCGAGTACTAACTTGTGCGGCACTTGCGGCGCAGGTTGAAGCGTGATCAGTTACTGTAATACAGGGTCAAATCTCACGGTGCCGCGCTATACAGTCTGATGTATGCGGGAAATCTCCGTTCTGTTGCAGTAGAGCACTAAAAGTAGTATACAATAGCCTTCAGTCACGGGAACTATTGTAACTTGTAAATGTCATGACAAAAACTGGATTGATTGACTATTCAACTAGCTTTTGCCGGAATTTTAAGCATTTGTTTTTTTCACTTCATTCCACCCTTCCCCTGAGATGAGATGTTTGAAATTGGCCCACGAAGCCGACGGCGGGGGTACAAGAAAATCCCGCACAAAGAGAAAGAAATATCACACGCCAACCCCCCATCACTTTCCCATTTCGTTATACATAAGACATGAAAGCAAAGAAGAATGTGGAATACCCTGAGTAAGAAAGAGCAGAGAAGAGAGCAATTGAACCTATGAAACAGTAAAAGTAACCCCTCCGAATTAAATTTTCAAGAAAAAAAATCAAAATCAAAATCAGAGGAACGCCACAGAGAGAATCTAAGCCTTTTCGCCTTCAACAGATGCATTGGTAGAATTGGAAACGGTGGAGGCTAGTTCAGCCCCGTCCTCAGCGACTCCGGGCCCCACAGCTCCGTGGATCCTTTCATCGAAAACGGGTTCGTCGTCGAGGGTTTCAAACTTGGACTTGACGTACATGTTCTCGATATGGCCCATGGAATTGGAGCGACGACGAGCCTTAAAGACCGTGTATTCGTCGGGAAGGTCTTGCAATTCATCACCGGCGAGGCCCCTAAGGTTTTGTTAGTGGAAATAATATTGGATGTGAAGAGTTGTAATAATAGTGATGGCGACGACTAACCAGTTGCCCTTTCCACCGCCGTTCTTCTTGGTCTTGTTGGGAGCGGTGTCGACATGGCCACTCTTGCCAAAGAACTTGGGGATTTGGTGCTCATTGAAGGCTGCTTCAGCCTCGGGGTGGTTGTGAGGGATATCGTTGGCTTTCTGAGTGCGGGTCATGATTGCAAACGAAGTATGTGTTTGAGTTTACAAAAAGTTTTGCAGGTGAGTAGCAGAGGAGTGAGTTTAGTAGAGGAAGCTTGTTGATGGTAAAGAGGAAGAAGAGGAGAATTGTTGCGACTATTTATTCAGGGATTAAGTCAGCTTGAGTCGGCCAAACTTGTTTGTTGGGAATAAGGACAAGGCAGGAAGGCGGGTGGTGATAGGCAGGCAAGTTGTGCAGATGCGCAAGCTTTCCCCACACCACCACCGCCGCCATCGCCATCAACCCAAACCCATGTCAAGCAACAACGCGGGGAGAGGGCGACGACAGTGACGGATACCTACTGGGATGACGTGCGAGGGGCAAGGAAGGGGTTCACAACAACATTCATGTCGACAGAGAAGGGGTAGAGCGGGAAGGGCTTTGGAACGAAGAATTGGAAGAGCTTACCACTCGAGACAGTATCAGGTATGAGTAAGAAAGAAAACAAAAAAGCTACAAGTCCACGATAACGGCCAGATGTGACAAACTTGAGTTTAGGAACTTGGGAACTTGGGAGACTTGGGTGATAAATGAAAGGAGAGAGAACAAAGGGTGGGTTGAAATTGTGTATTTATACCGGGGAGGCTGTTAGCACGCCACCACCCGATGGTGGGACCACACCACTGTAGCTGTATCCCAATCGATTCTACCCCAGCCCAACCCACACCATATGATACCACCCTTGGAAGCCGAACGCTCAGCTCGCCAGTTTATAGACAAAAATTACCAGGAAAGGAGGTGAGAGTTAGGAGTACCGGTACCGGTATCACGGACGGGTGGTAATTACAGCAGATAATATTATTAGAGGCATGATTTAGTATTGCTTAGAATTTAATATCAATGCACTTTACGTTTGTGCTAGCACAGGAGAGATACAGTACCTCCTCCTACCTCTCTCTCTTTGCAAGTAGTTATCGATAAATATAATGCTAATTCTCTTGCAATTCAATTGCAGTAGGTAGACCAAAAAAACATCCGGTCCTCCTTTCTCAGTACTCGAGTACGGGTTGTGAAAATGTCACGCAGATAGCCTAGCACGAGACCTTCTACCCCTAAGCTTTCACGGGCCCGTTGGTCCCCCCTGAAGAGCAACCGGTAGGTAGGCCAAAGGCTCCCCCCATGTCGTCCATCCTTCCCATCCCCACATCTACTCCCCACACTCTTCAACAAATCCCCGCTTGCTTACCGCCGCCTCTACTAACTCAAATGCATCATTGGCCAAGAAGACAAAAAGTCTTGTGCCAGTGCCAAACATGGATAGCCACGGAGACTGTCCGAATGGCAATGGCAACATCTAGAGGTTTCCCCCCTCACCGCAACAGAATGGGGGTATTCCACATAGTGTTCTCATCAATGTGAAATGCTGCATTTTCGTGAACATCACAAAAACCCTACAACTACCGTATACTCGAGTAGGTATGGCATAGGGTAGATCCACAATGGTTTCTCGGCGTTGAACCCTTCCCCTCCCTCGGTCAGGTCAGCTCTCCGACGAGAAAACCTTTAGAATACCATGCGCTTGGCGGTCTACCCTTTCGGATACCATCAACCGAGAAATTTACCATCGTATTTTGTGAGACTTAGATTCAGAAAAAGGAGACAAGGAGATGATCTTCGCTCTCTGAATGCAGTTAAATATGTGACTCCCTTATCACCTTTCATCACTCACTCTGGAAGCATTATGATTATCATCGTCAACCCTTACCTAACCCCACCTCTTGTATTTCTTTTACCTCTTTCTTTTCACCTCATTCTTTTTGCTTTATTACCCCAACTTATTTCGCTTCGCTTCCTCTTTATTTCTTATGCGAGAGAAAATGCTTCTAGATAGGCGACTGGTTTTCCTCACACTTTAAGACTCTGCTATTAATCATATCAGAGAGGAGAGATGATTCACAATACATAATAACCCGATATTGGAGTCTTCTGACTGGATACCCTTATTCCCACACCTTTCCACAGGTTTTACTTTCTTTGCTGACTTCAAGATTATTTTTGATTGTCCTTTACTCAATTGGAAGTTGAAACAAATTCATGTTTGCTCTTTGAGAAAAAAAAGGAAAAAAAAAAAAAGAAAAAAGATAATACATCCTTCTTCCTTCCTTCTGTGAAATGCTTCTTCTAATTAATATTCATACCACCTTCCCATAGTTTCTCCTTAAATCACAGTCGACAAAAGTTACACTATTTGCTTCAAGTGATAACTACTGGCAAATAAGTACAGATGCTGGCCAAAGGTAGATAAGAGGTGATTTTTGATGTCATCCCCATCTTGATATTGTAGCTGCACGTCCAGAGCTGAAGGACAGCCATAATCAGGCTTTTTGAAAGTTAGAAGAGATAGAGATTCTACAGGAGATACAAAGGGGGCTGAGGTGTAGGTTCCCAAAAACCCAAAAGTGTTCCCAGAACATGTCGAAAGCCGTGAAGTTGGCTGAGAGCAATAATTGAGCTTACAAGATAATTCTGGCTGATATATTTTGGGACTGCAGAATGGAGACTCAGGAGATCCAAAGGTCTCCGCATCAGAAGACGGAAATGATAATGGTAATTGCGAAGACTTAAGATTTAACAATACTTCAATCTTGTGTGGTTTCTCTAAGGGGAGAGCAGGTTGATATTATTCTCTGTTCCGGGAAGGTCTTGATCAGGTGTGCTTAATTTACAACTGCATAGCTAAGAACTGCAATTGACGGTAATGATACTCAGGTCAAGTATCATTACAGTTGCTTCAAAGGTGATAATGAAGACAGCTGGCCCAAAAATTGACCTGAATTTTCTCTGTACTGATTTTCAAGCATCAGTCAGAGTATCTATGGGAGACGGGTACGCTGATGCACTATTATTTCATCATGCTGTTTTGGCTACTAGCTGTACAGAGCTGAAGGAGAAGTAAAACCAAGAAAAAAAAATAAAAAAAATAAAAAAATAAAAATTCTGAAAATAGACTATCGGCTTTTGTTGCGAAATGAAAACTGCTATTGATATTACAAATGTATGTTTTGACAAGTCTGTTTATTATGACCCCAAGATCCACATTTGCCACATTGCTGACTTCCAGGACCATGATTGGGGGGTGGTAGGCTGTTATTTAGTACTGCTTAAGTATGGGTAGTTTGCTTTTTCTGTAAACTGCGAAGAAGGTACTTGTTTCTGGGTCTTCCTTGAAGACAACAAAGCTTAGTCGGTGGTGCATAATCAATTTTGGGAAGATTGGGTAGATGGACTTCAATATATGAAGTCATATTAAGACTAATAGGCTTAATATTATGACGGTAGGTGTTCTTTCATGTTGTTGTTTGAAAATAGGTAGGCAGGTAGTTTCAAGGAGTCTTATGAATTGTTTGAATAAAGGTAAATGCATGACTACAGGGGATCATATTTTCTTGAAAGTGACTATAGGAATACGATTTCTGCAGAAGATTGACAGAATATGACTTATCATTCGCTTGGATGACTTCAGCGGTCGTTCGGGTGGCTATGCAGACTCGATTTCTTGTTGCCCATTATAGCAGAACCCGCCCAGACCCTCCTGTCTCGC